ATCAGATTAATTCAAGTTTCAGCTTCTTGAAAATGTTATAAAAGTTTTGAAGAGGCCTTTGAAGCAACAAATAATTCCAAAAAAATAGTTGAAATTAATGATGAAGGAAATGCAATTAAAGAACGTTTATTGCCTCGTATATTTTCGTTTATTGTTAATAAAGAAGATACTGGTGAATGTTCCAACTCAAATCATAGAAATAACGGTGATAAAGGTGATGATAGTAAAGAAAATATGAGGCTAATGATAGTGAAGAAAATAGTGATGACGAAGAAAATGGTGACAATAAAGTCGAAGAAAGTGATGATGATATGGACATTTCATGGTAGTATTTCATAGCTTTTAAACAATATTAGAATTTTTTGATAAAGTTTTTGGTGTAATAAAATAAAAGGAATTGAGAATGAAATGTATCAAGTTACATTGTTTTATGTTATAATAAAAACAATAAAAAATATAGAGGTTGTAGTACATATCATTACTAAGTAGAAATTTATTAATTTTGGCTACTAAGTCAAATTACATGAATGTTGAGTCTATAGCTTCAAATGTACGTATTTGGTTTTCAGATATATTATCATCTTATTATTATAAAACTGATTAATAAATATTAGTCAAAAGGTTAGTTAACATATCTAATAGAGATGTTAACGATTTAACTTGATTGTATATTTATTATTTTATTATACTGTAAAAAACCGTAAATAGGTTGTACATAGAAAATAATTTCTACGTAGTAATTCACCAGATCAATATGCTCAGTATATACTGTATTGATATTGCATAAGAAATTTTAAATATTTTATTTATGCGAACTTTCGAAAATATATAATTTGTATAAACTTTTCAAATAAAAAATGTTTATTTTTATATTATTTGAGATTAATTAAGTAAAAAAATTTCTACTAAGAAATAAAAATTAATACAAATATTTTAAAACTCTTATCAGAATTTAACTTGAGTGACTTAGCATTCATTTTCATCATTTAAGAGCAGTGAAAATATTAATGAATATTAATATAGAACGGCTGATATGGCAATTCATCCCATATTGATTGAGAACAGCAAAATCATATTATGGAGTGGCCAATGTAGCAATCCATCTCCATATTAAAGCCATTCTGTAAATATACAAATTGGATGGAACGTACAAATTGGATGGACGGCCAAATCACCATTCCATATTTATTTTTCCTCGAAAAAAGAAAAAAAACATTAGAAATACATAATATTATTGTTTAAAAAATTAAAGACACTTTCTTATTCATGTTTCATATTCAATTATTCTTTAACAAATATCTATGTTTGATTACAATATTACATTATCGTAATAGCTAGACAGAACTAGGTCAGCTTCAACGCTTTTCGAATTTTATTACCAAGAAAGTCATCATAAAAATAAAATTGATTCTTAGTTTCTTAATATAGGCTGGCTTATAATTATTTGTAAAAAAAGTGTATAAGTGAATATATGAACAAATAATAAGAAAAAAATAAACAAAGTTTAACTTCTCTTAAGTAATTAAGTGACGTTCTCATATTTTTGGTGTAAGATAAAATTTTTGGATGTTATTTACCAAACTCAAAAGCATTCTTATTTTTTATGTTATCAGCTAATTTCGATCCGAGAATATTCTGATCTGATTCTAACCAGCCAGACAATACAAAATCAGATTTTTTTACTCACAGTTATACCAATTAAATTTTTTTTTGATAAGCAATTAAATTCCGGTTTATAGTTATGAAACCTTAGTTGATAATTCAAATCAAGAAAAATTACTCTTTTTTTTTAGCAATTATGACAAAGTTTCCCAGCTAACGGTTGTGAAACTTTAGGGGTATTAGGTTAGTTGAAAAGAGTTATTGTAATCAAGTTCTATTGTGCATTAAGTCAGTTGACAAGGGTTATCTTGCTTTAAATGCATTAATTATCTACTTTTGTAAAACTTTAGGGTGCTAAGCCAGTTGACAAAGAGTTATCTTGTTTCAATTGAACTAGTAAAATTTTATTTTCCTGAAATATCTTGTTTCTTATTACAGTAATCTTTGATAATCAAGTTTTGCTATTTACTATTGTGAAACTTTAGGGGTGTTAAGTCTGTAACAAAAGAGTTATCTTACTTTAAATACATCAATTATTTACTATTGTAAAACTTTAGAGGCATTAAGTCAGTTGACAAAGAGTTATCTTGTTTCGATTGAACCAGTAAAATTTTATTTTTCTGAAATATCTTGTTTCTTATTACAGTAATCTTTGATAATCAAGTTACTATTGTGAAACTTTAGGGGCGTTAAGTCCGTGACAAATGCATCAATTATTTACTATTGTGAAACTTTAGGGGCGTTAAGTCTATGACAAATGTATCAATTATTTACTATTATAAAACTTTAGGGTGTTAAGTCAGTTGACAAAGAGTTATCTTGTTTCGATTGAATCAGTAAAATTTTATTTTCCTAAAATATCTTGTTTCTTATTACAGTAATCTTCGATAATCAAGTTCTGCTATTTACTATTGTGAAACTTTAGAGGTGTTAATTCTATGACAAAAGAGTTATCTTGCTTTAAATACATCAATTATTTACTATTGTGAAACTTTAGAGGCGTTAAGTCAGTTGACAAAGAGTTATTACAGTAATCTTTGATAATCAAGTTCTGCTATTTACTATTGTGAAACTTTAGGGGCGTTAAGTCCGTGACAAAAGAGTTATCTTGCTTTAAATGCATTAATTATTTACTATTGTGAAACTTTAGGACATTTAGTCAGTTGACAAATGAGTTATCTTGCTTCTGATTGCAGTATGCATCAACAAAATTTTATTTTTTCTGAGATATCTTGTTTCTGATTATAGTAATCTTCAATAAGTTATTGTCAAAGGTTATCTTGCTTTAAATGCATCAATTATTTACTTTTGTGAAACTTTAGGGCATTAAGTCAGTTAACAAAGAGTTATCTTGCTTCGATTGTAGTACAGCCTTCCTCCTCTATAATCATGCAGTTTGTATTAACATTAAGAAAATTTGTGATTATAAAGGAGTGTGATTATATAGAAGTCTTTTTTTATAAGTTTATTAATAAATTGTTTCAAAATTTTATGTGATTGTACAAGAGCTGTGATATATAGGAGGTGATTATAGAGGAGGAAGACAGTAATATGAACCAATAAAATTTTATTTTCCTGAGATATCTTGTTTTTTATTACAGTAATCTTTAATAATCAAGTTCTGCTATTTACTATTGTGAAACTTTAGGGGCGTCAAGTCCGTTCGTGACAAAAAAGTTATCTTGTATTAAATGCATCAATTATTTACTATTGTGAAACTTTAGGGGCGTTAAGTCAGTTAACAAAGAGAGTTATCTTGCTTTCTTGCTTCTGATTGCAGTATGCATCAACAAATTTTTATTTTTCCTGAGATATCTTGTTTCTGATTATGGTAATCTTGATAATCAAGTTCTGTTATTTACTATTATGAAACTTTATGGGTGTCAAATCCATAACAAATGAGTATCTTGCTTTAAATGCATCAATTATTTACTATTGTGAAACTTTAGAGTATTAAGTTAGCTGACAAAGAGAGTTATCTTGCTTTTTTGTTCTAAGATATCTTGTTTCTTATTATGATAATTAAGTTCTGCTATTTATTATTGTGAAACTTTAGGGGTGTTAAGTCAGTTAACAAACGAGTTATCTTGCTCTGATTGCAGTATTTATCAACAAAATTTTATTTTTTCTGATATCTAGTTTCTGATTACATTAATCTTAAATAAGTTATTGTAATCAAGTTCTATTGTGAAACTTTAGGGCTGTTACTATTGTGAAACTTTAGGAGTATTAAGTCTGTGACAAAAAAGTTATCTTGATTAATGCATCAATTATTTACTATTGTGAAACTTTAGGGGCGTTAAGTCAGCTGACAAAGAGTTATCTTGCTTTTTTGTTCTGAGATATCTTATTTCTTATTATGATAATCAAGTTCTGCTATTTACTATTGTGAAACTTTAGGGGCATTAAGTTAGTTGACAAATAAGTTATCTTGCT